CACACACACACACACACACACACACACACACACACACACACACACACACACACACACACACACACACACACACACACACAAGACACACGCATCTGTGTGTGTCCGCAGTGTATGTACGAGGTACGCATGTCTGTGAACATATTGCTTGATTAACATCTATGAGTAGTTCACAATCTGGAGTTCATCAGAGAGGTGCTCCGTTTGCCTGAGTCATACCGGGGGGTTCGCAAGACAATATAAGCTGTCAATGGGTACAGCAAACTCGGTGGCTTCAGTTTGTGATACATCTTGGTTTGGTCAGTCAATAGACCCCCAGTTTCCCAGCGTGCCCTGCTCTCCCATGCTCCTCAGTGGGGAAGGAGCAGCTTGTGCTTCATGTGTGGTCAGGCGCCCAGATTCCAGGCTGAAGAGGCTGTCTCTCCCCCTATATGATCGCCTGCTCAGTAAATCCCCTTGGCTCCCAGGGCAATCAATGCTGGCAGGTAGCACCATGATTGTTCTCAGTATCTTCTGCATCAGGGATGCTGGACCCGTTTTCCAGGAGGTGGCACTCCCCACAAATATATGGAGTCTCCCCGGATGGAGCTAGCGGTGCCTGCCTCTATCACCACTACTTGCTCCTAAAGGGATGTTAAAAAAAGAAGAAAAAAAAAAAAGAAGCCGACTGCATCCTTTGATCTTTAGAAGGAAACAACAGAACCTAAATGCCAAAAAGTCGGGCCCCAAAAAATTGAGAATCCTGCAGACAAATCTAGAGCTTAGGTCAGGTGGACTGACTTTGCATGGGGAGAACTTTCAATCCATTCTATCTCAGCCGAGCCGGGCATGTCTATACGCACGGCCGGGTAGAATGGTACACCATATGGAAGACCACTAAAGGCAATAGGAAAGTTTTTCCCTTCATAACGGTAGTCTCCTAATCTATTGGCATACGTCAGCGATCTATCAGTCATGTCCAATATCACAATAACAGATTCACCGAAGTTTTCCATGTAATCTTCTTCGTCATGAGATTCTTCATGAAATTCTTCTTCCAATTTCCCCCCTGTGCAAGACGGTTGATAGTCACCATTTACGAGCCAGTGGTCTTTCACATCTGGCATACCAAAACTATTCGATGTAGCTGCCGAAACAACACCGGCGAAAAAATATTTGTGCAATGTTTCAGTGCGAACCCTCCATATGTGCAAGCCACGGTGAAGAGGTAATTGCAGTACTGCAGTCTTCATGCCCATTCTGTTTACGAGCCGCACTTGCTGTGGTAGCTTCTCTGAAGTCGCGTAGCCGGATTTGGGATCATGGGCCCATAAAGATGGAAGTAAGACCTTAGCATAAGCACGACAAATTTCACCGCCAGGTGATTTCACTGGTGCAAGTGATACCCGTGGACATAGAGAACGCCACGGTATTGTGAGAAGAGAATAAGCTGACAGTCCTCTTGAAAGGAATATGGACTGCGCTTTGTAAACTGCAATGAGAACCTTTGGCCGCAAGATTTTCAGCGGCTCAATCCTCTTTCCCACAAATTCGGGCTTTACAAATGCCAGGTTGATGTGACATTCCAATATTTCTCGCAAGTCGTCCTTTGACAGTGAGCCTCCTATGCCTCCGGATGCTGCAGAGAGAACAGCCTCAGCCACTACCGTCTCAATTACATTGGGATGGAATCACACGTTCTCGAGGCAGTACACGATGCTGTCTTTGCTCCATCCGTGGAATGACGTCGAATTGAATACCAAAACTTTGTTCATTGCTTTCACTGCAGCCTCCAGCAATTCCTCAGCATGCCTTGGGATCGCCACATCCAGCAGCCGACCAAATTCATGGGCTGAAACGAGTTTTGAAACACGCAGTGAGATCCTCTGGCACATGCGATCAATCTGGTACTGCTCTGCCAGGCAGTACGCTTCCACCATTTCATCCCAGCAAGTGCCATCCTTCCACCTGAATTGATGACCATGCAGGAAACTGATCACAACCTGAAGACCACTGGCCGTCGTACCAGGGAGGTGTATTGTCTCCATTGAACTCTTATTCATATCACCATCAAGCAGTCTGGAGAAGACCACACTGCCACTTGCCAATAATGCTCGATTTGCCCGCACCTTTCGTCCATCTGCGCATACAAATTTGACATTGAGAGATTCTCGATGACTAGGAGCCGTCCGAACAGAAGACAAAAGCTGATCGTCAAGGTTTGCATCTTCCTCCTCCTCCTCCTCCTCCTCCTCCTCCTCCTCCTCCTCTTTCTCCTCCTCCTCCTCCTCCTCCTCCTCCTCTTCCTCCTCCTCCTCTTCCTCCTCTTCCTCCACTGAAGACCATGAGGAGGGACATGGGACAGCCCTTCGGTCATTCAGCCTTCTGGTCTTCGTAGGTGTACCTCCTGGATGGGACATTCTGTTGCAATCTTTGTTGAGCATCTCCAACACTTGAGGTTCTAAGCTCCACATGATTTTAGGTGGATCTGCACAGAAATGAAAGAGATAAATGTCTAGAAATTTGTAATTAGCGGATGAAAAACTCCGCACTTAAAAAAAAAGAAAAAGGCAACCTACAAAATACAACCCAGCAAAAGACATTCCAAGAACTCATTTCCAGCATTCCTTTTTTTTTTCTTTTTCTTTTTTTTCTTTTCGAGAGAGAGAGAGAACAACCCGATCAGGTGCTAGGTGTGAGCAGGCACGTCTAGCACCGTCGGGGAGGCTCCATCTATTGGTGGGGAGCAGCACCTGCTGGAAACCGGATCCAGCGTCCCTTTGATACATCGTACAACACAGAGAATGCTATTTGTTTTTCTCAGAGCTGCGGCCTATTCTAACTCAGCTTGGGGCTCCCAAATCCCTAGGGCTGCTAGTGTCACCCATCCCTTCTTAGGAGCATCCCTTATCTAATAACCCAGCCCTGTCTCAGCAGCCCCCTTTTAAACCCTTTTAGAATTCTTTATCCTGTCCGGCGTGTCCGCCCACTTCTATTACACCTTGTCTATCCTTGGGCCCGTCAGATCAGGGACTGTAGAAGGGGTCTGACCTGAGTCAATCCCATATGTTTGTTACTATGCAGTTAACTAAGGCTGACAGCCCAGCACCTACGATACTCCACTGCTTAAACCCTTTTAGGCCCTTTTAAACCCTTGTACCCAGTCACTTCCTGACATATCAGAAGCTATAYTAGGAGGACTGGCATGAGGCTTTTCATTACAACGTAGTTAACTAAGGATGAAGTGATTCAGACAGGTTAATGCCTCTACACCTGCACAAGTTGGGTATTCGTGGTTCATGTGAAGATCTGAAGCTGTCAATTCCATGTGTTTCTCCAGGCCCCTGTTCCTGGAGACTCTTCATGTGTTCGGTGCTCTTCCCTTTCCTTGTACCGGGAAGCACGAACATTGCCTTGATTGATGTCGACGTCGTCTGGCTCCCTCTGAGCTCAACCTGCTGTTTGTTTCTTAGCTGTCGATCACCGAGGTGCTGAATCTGGATGGTCCGAATGATCAGCGGCCGGGCGAAGAACCGGGTGGTGCAGGGCAGGGTGGTAGCGGAGGGGGAGAGAGAGGCGGGCCAGAGGACTGGGAGTCCGCTGGGGGAGTAGAGGGCTGAGGAGGTGTTGGGGGTGGGGAGCCCATGGGGATCGGGGGGGGATACGGTGGGGACGAGGGCGGGGGAGCGGAGGGGAGAGGGGGGGGTGGCGATGGGGTCGATGGGGGAGGGCTGGATGGCATGGGGGGGGGGTGTGATCTGGTAGAATGAAGGGGGGAAAGCCCAGCCTGTGCATGCTGATGCTGCTGACCCTGGGCCTGGTGCACCTCGGTTATTGAGTTTATGAGTTGACTCGGGGGCGGTGTTGGGAAGGATTTCGGCGGTCTGTATGTCCATAGGTGGTCGTGTGCTGCCCAGTTCTTCCATGTCAGCCTTCCATCACTGCGCACTTCAGCTATTTTGTGGTTCGGATCTATCCACTTTTCTGTAAAGGTCGCGGTCAGCTTTTGCTTACGGTCTTGGTCGGGGGCTACACTCACTTTTTGAATTAAGTCTTTACTAGCTTTCAGCACATTTTCAGCATTCCTTTCCATCTTCCTTTATCTTTCTTTTTCTTTTTAAAACCACCACTACCTTTGCCACTGGACGCCAAGTCCCCAAAGTAACCTGCTCCGAAAAAGGAGGCGCCAGGCGGCCGCTGATATTTTTGATCAGCTGCTCCCGGCGTCTGAATTCGAATTTCACGGCCCGACACCAAAACGTCAAAGGTAGTGGTGGTTTAGTGCGGGCAGCAGAATGGAGGCCAGAGCGGAGGTGAGCGGAGGTGGAGGAGAAGTGGGCAGAGGCGAAGAGGAGATGGCAGGAGGAGGCGGACGGGGGTGGCGGAGGCGGAGGAGAAGTGGCATAGGCGGGGAGGAAAGAGAGAGAGGAGATGGCGGGAGGAGGCGGGCGGGAGGTGGCAAAGGCGGAAAGGAGATGGTGGGAGGAGGCGGAAAGGAGGTGGTGGAGGCGGAGGAGAAGTGAAAGGGGCGGGGAGGAAAGAGAGAGAGGGGATAGCGGGAGAAGGCAGACAAGAGGTGGGCGGAGGTGGGCAGAAGCGGAACGGGAAGTGGGCGGAGGCCGAGCGGAGCACGAGCGGAGGTGGGCGGAGGCCAAGCGGAGGTGGGCGGAGGCCGAGCGGAGGCCGAGGGGAGCACGAGAGGAGGTGGGCGGAGGCCAAGCAGAGGCCGAGCAGAGGTGGGCGGAGACCTAGCCTCGGGCAGAAGGCCTCAAGGGAGGTGGGCAGAGGCGGTGGTGCAGGCCAGGGCCAGAGCAAGAGGCAAAGTGCCCTGGACAGAAGTGGAGTTGAGGTGAGGTGGCAGAACCTCCCTCTCCCGTTCTCTCTCTCTGCCCATTCATTTTCTCTCAATTTATTAATTGTACCGGTTTCTAACAAAAAAAAAAAAAAAAAACACAGTAGGAGTACGGGGAAGAGGAGGAGATGAGGTAAAGGGGATATGAAGAGGGAAGGCCATGTTGATCCACGGCTGGTGATCGTAGCTGATCGGATCGTGGAGTGAATGGATCTCTGTCCTTCTTCACACTACCGTCCGATGTCTACGGTCACCAGGGGATTTACAAGATCCTTCGGGGGTTTTGGCCGTTTGCAAGAGATGGTGAAAGGAGGGACCGAGATTCAAATGTCTCAAGAAGAGGATGAAGGAGCGAACGAGCAAAGCGAGAGGTAGAAGACGATTACGGGTAAGAGAAGAATGACGCGAACGAGATAAAGGGGAAGAGGTCGGGGTGAAAGATGCAAAGAAATCTTGCATGCAGGTTCAAATAGCGGGCCTGTGTGTTTGATTTTCGATTGAACGCAGGTTCCCCGTTGAATTATTCAACGCGCCTTGAATTGGTGTTGAATCCTCGTTTAAACGCGCGTTAGACGTGAATAAATGGGGTCCGCAAACTGGAATTTTGAGTGTTTCGTGGGGGAGTACGGGGTTTCTGAGGGCCTGAGGTAGTAAAGTGGCCTGTTGGGTACCACCTCATGTGCTCAGAATTATTATTATCATTTTTCTTAATTGAAAATAATAAAAAACGCGGCCCCGCTGCGGGCCGACGTGGTGCAGGGTGTTTTCGGGGTACCTGGGTTGTGCGGGCTGCTGGGGGGGGCCAGGGGGAACGGCTACTAAGAAGGTCGTTTCACTTGGCCACACTTCATTTGCTGCGCGAGCCCAAAGGCTTCAACACGACAAACGCGGTTTGTCACGCTGTCAGGCGGCCACAAGCAGTGCGCCGCCTGAAATCTACGGTTTAGGGACTTAGGCTCAAAGACAAGTTCGTGCAATGACGGTACTCTGATTTGACCATGCAGCAAAAATTAGGGGCACCTCGAGTACCCCTAAGATTAGATATGACGACCGTTGAGACTAGCTCTCGAAATTGATAAGAAGGACTACCTTACCACGGCGACATCTATCCCAATACCGGCGACTTTAGCTTGTTTCCGGGACGGCCGCCTGCTGAACAGCAAGATGGAGATGGGCTTCGGCGTGGTTCTTTTACGCTCCATAACTGACGCAGAAGTGGGGCCTCGGATATCATCAATTTTGGTATCAAAATTAAAAAAAAGAGAACATGAATTAAAAACAAAACAAGAAAAGAGAAAAACGGAATATTCATTAATTTATTCAAAATCTTTGATGTTTGATTTTTAATGGGACCGCCCTCAATTATTGGACTTTCTGACAATGGAGTGAAAAATAAGAAAGAGGGATCAAAGGCGATAAAAGAAAAAGAAAACAAAGAATTTTCGTTATTTAACTGAATTCCATCGAAATTTATTTTTGACAAGATTGCTTTATTTTTCTTATTTTCGATAATGGAACTAAGAAATAAGAAAAATAATTAAAAATAATAAAACGAGAAGGAAACCCACGATTATCTGATAATTAAACTAATTTTTACTTGGTTATTAGCGAAGGGCGCACCACATTGTTCCAATCCGGGTGTTGTGAGTGAGTGTGGGATGGATGCCTGGCGCGGGATTACCACCGGTGCTATTTTGCCTCGGCTTCATTGCTTGGGTGTTACCGCTGGGTCGATTCGGGTACGGTACTCTGGTTCGGGACAGGCTCGGTATTATTACAACGCATTGTTGCACGATACTGCACCCAACACCGAGCGGTATGATAATAGTGCAGGCGGCGGTAAATCAGAGCGATTCTTCGGAACCCTCATTGGAACGCTTGCTGGAACGATACTGGTATGGGACTATTATCGCAACGGCATTGGCATCGGCGCTAATGCAGATTGGCACAACTATTGGTTCGGCATCGACACAAACTGGAACAGTATATGACTATTCGACCTTGGAATGGGTAACAGTTGGCTACTTACACAGTCCTGGGACGGCAGGCCATGACCTAGACCTGCTGGGCTTAGAAATTGGTCACTGGTTTGCCGTTGGAACAGCTACCGCAATGGACCAGGGCGCCTGGATTCACGAGGGCAAGAAATTTTCTGGGCCTGGAGCATTGGGACTGTAGGGACTGCGACGCGGACCGAGTGGAACCAGGGCAGTTGGCCACAGGCAGTGGATATAGGAGAAGCAAACGGGTACCAAGGGGAGTTTTGGGGGAAGATGCGTGTCAGGCGTACCCAGCATCCCGGAAGTTGACCGGAGACGAGCAAGCAATGAGAGCAAGGACGGAGAAGAGGCGACAGGGCGGAGGCGGTAACTCCGCGCGTGAAGGGAGTGACGTGACGAAAGGAAGCATGCACGGTGTGCTCAGCCCACCGCTGCCAACGCTGGCTGGAGTCCCGAGACACGGACGGTGAACGGCGTCGGTGCAGCGAATGTACCTGTTCGCGAAGTACAATGGATCCGTGTTGCGGCAGCGGGTGAGTATGTGCCAAAAGTACGGGCGTTTTTGCTGTCCGCTCTTGGACGCAGCCATTAGCGGCACCTGTGACAGCGTGATCATTGTCCCTTTCAACCACGCGT